TTCGGCTACTCAAGCCCTCGAGCCAAGTGGTTCTATTGGATTTAACAGAATGTTGACCACGACCCGACAGTGCGATATCCGAGTTCGGCTACTCAAGCCCTCGAGCCAAGTGGTTCTATTGGATTTAACAGAATGTTGACCACCTATTAATCAATCCCCAGTTTGTCCCTGGGTTTAGTGGGGAATCATCACTTTTGAAGGGGAACACCCCCATATTGATAAATTGGGCTTGATGAATATGGGGTCAACATTACCAAGAGCAAGTGGTCTAAGCGCGGCACCAAAGGCTGGTCCAGAATCTATTTGCCCAGCCGGTACCAGTAAGCACGACCCTTGGCCCATGCTTGGTCATGGGGAGCGAAGCCTCTCTGGTGGGGTCGTAAACCGATGGAAGCAAACTAGGTTCAGCTTTGGTCCAAGTCGTTGAGTCATTTTTGTAGTGAGATGAGAATCCAGTTTTTTGGACATAGATGTGGACTTGTAGTGACATGAGATTCCATATCTTTTTGTAGTGAAGTTTTGTAGTCATTTCTTTGGACATGGATTCACTGCCAATCTTTGCATCCTTTCATTGAGTCATGTACTGGCGGCATCCAAGGTATTTTTGCAAATGGACACTTGGGCCCCCGTTGGGTTTCGTGCGGGTTTCGGGTTCGGTGTTGCTGGGATTGCCCGACTGAGCATCCAGTTGAGGGAAGGTTCCTGAAATTGTCTTTGCTTAGGGTACCCCGAAAACGGTGGCTTTCCGTTCGAAAAAAGGGGTTCCCTCAAAAACGAGACAGATAAACTTGGACCCTTCGGCTGCGGACTCCACAAACAACGCCCCGATCGAAGCTTTTTCCGTGGCCAGGGGACCTTCGTTTGGGCCATGGCCCACAAGTGCCCCAGCATCTTCTGCACCATTCCCCACATGGACACCTGCCTCTCGGCTGAAAAAAAAACGCAGCCAGCTTGAACGTCCCGATTTTTGGCAGGGCCGTACCCAGGCTTCCTATATTTACGTTTTTTTTGTGGCTTTAGATATCGCCTTTTGATTTAATTCACTCCTTGTGCTGCAAACACTGCCAGGGCGACAGCCACTCTTTCTGTCAAGCCGCGCACTTTGATTGCTTTTCCCGGCCCATGTGTTTTCCGCTTGGCTTGGCTTGGTTTGGTTTTGCCTCTTTGTTTGGTGGGAAACAAGCATTTACTCTTGAAGGGACCTTCCGGTTGCATGCAAGGAGTCTTATGAGATCTATAATTACTCTCCTGCGACTTAGGTGCAATGTTGGATAGAGGAATCTGCAGACTGAGAAGGCCCGTAGTCTTCTAGTACATCTGGTTGTGTGTTTCAACACCTGGGTGGGTGTCAGATGTTAAAAAGGATGGGGTCCGTCACTGGAAAATTGAGGCGTCAGCTGAGAGCTTTGCCAAGACCCTCTATTCCCATGTTCAAAAGCACATAGATGATCTATGTTATCCATGTTGAGGCATCTGTGCGTCGAAATTCGGGGACGCCCCAAAATGATGGTTGTCCCTTTAGTTCCCCTTTAAACCACTCCTTCAAAAGGGTACCCTAAACAAACACACGGGCCCAAATCAAGTGAGCGAGGCTTCAGCGTGGCCTCGCTGTACACCTTCATGCAGGCTCTGGGCCTGGTGTGGATGTTCCTGGTGGTGCTACTCGCGGTGCTCAGCGTGCGCATCGTGCGCCGCAGCTGGCGAGGGGGGGAGGGAAGGAGAGGGAGGGAGAGGGATGAAGGCGGGGATGAATGCGGTGATGAAGGCGGGGAGGGAAGGCGAGATGAGGGGGATGACTCACCTCTCATTGCCCTGAACTTTGAATAAGACAAATGACTCCACTGTATGTTTTCAGAGCCTAACATAGGCATTCTATGAGTTTGTCCGCCATGATAGACAACCTAGGACATATATATGCATTGAGTTATTTCTCATCGCTTGCTATTCAAACGGCCGAAACAACATAAATTGAACACAAATACGGCAAGGACTATTAGATGTTTTTAGGTTTATGCCATTCTTATTTCTTGATTTCACTGGTTTCGGCGTGTATCTTGGGGTTTTATATGCAATCCCTGATATGAGCGGCTGGTAGGAACGACGCGCATAACACCCTAGCTAAAACATTGAGATTGAGAATGCGTCAGAAACAATGGTTGAAACCATACCGTTTGTTGGTATTTGCATCAGAAACCGGGGTTTCTGAACGGTGGTGCGAGAAGCGGATTTCGCAACCATCCACAGTCCTTCCCCAGAATCAGCTCCCCCCCTTTGTTTTTTCTCTTTTGGTGTCCGTTTGTTTTCCACCAACCAGGCAAAAAGGGTATATACTTTTTGCTGGGGTCTTATTTCCAGCCTAAAGTAGTGAGAAACCAGGTGTTCTTAGGTGATGCGAAATGATTTTCGTCCATCCACTAGTGATGATGATGCAGTTGAAACGGAAGCACTTCAGCGCCAAAGCGCCCGAGCCCCGGCCGAGGAGCAGCGCAGTAGAGGTGCCGGACGGTAGCTTGCCCGGGCGGGGGGCCCTGGCGAAGATGGGCACCGCTGGGCGGCCTTGACAGGTGTCGTGTCTTTTTGAGGGTCTCTTTGTTGGGGTTCTTTAAAAGGAAAACAAATAGAGAACCACAATTTTTGTTGGGTCCCCCGATTTTGACCATCAGTTTGATTTAGTCACCCCCTCTGCCCCAAATAAAAGAATGGCTCCATCTACTTTCACCCAACTGCAAGGAGGACGCACGGTTTCTCCAAGGGTGGGGGAGCTTCCATGAAATTGCCGATGGCAATATTTGTGAATCCTTCGTGTGGAAGATACGACGACACAAGGGATAGTTTCTTCCCTGATTGCTGGTTCGTGCCTCTTTTCGAGGGCACCCCTTTTGGGGTGGTTCAAAAGGACACCGGACGGATTTTATCAGATGCTCCGAATGGGGGAAGGGACCTTCCATGGGATTGGGGCCCGGAGGTTTGAGGTTTGAACCACAGCGATGCTCAGGGAATCTCAGGGTAATTTGCGCGGGCGATTTGGCAAGTCAACGGGCAAATGAGCAAATGGAAGGCTTTCACACCGCGGCCAGCGGTCGGTTTTTTGTTTGTTTGAGTGTCCTCCCCAGGCTTCCCTTGAGGGCTATGGTCCGTGCGGGCCGAACGGGCTCCAAGAACCCCCGAAGACCCCGAGAAGGGAAGCCGAAAGTTCATGCTGAAGCAAGAGTGATTGTGAACACGGTGCGACAGGCACGTGCTCATGATTCTTTTGTCCCAAGAAATCAAGAAAGATCCAAGCCTTTGAGTTCACTTGCCGGGTGGATTGCCTAAGCAGTTGGTGGTGAACCTCATTGGTTTTGCCATTCGAGGCATTCAAAGTGCATGGATATCTTGTGACTGCGGATAGATTCGCATGGAAAACCCTTCCACCCGGCTTGAGTAAAATTCTACGTCCTTCGAGCCTGTAGGACCCACCTTTTGGCAAACCGCGGCTGAGGTACAGCCAGCGTCCCCTGCGGACGGTGGGGCTGTGCTATGTGTACTACAGCATCATCCGCCTCCTCTACCTTTTCTCAGGCGAGTTTTTGGGAGTCTCTCGTGGCTGGTGGAGCGGTAGGGGAGAGGAGGAAAGGATTTGAGGAATTGGGGAGGTTCGGGGAGGTTTGGGGAGGTTTGGGGAGGTTTGGGAGGTTGGGGAGGTTTGGGGAGGTTTGGGGAGGTTTGGGGAGGTTTGGAGAGGTTTGGCGAGGTTTGGCGAGGTTTGGGAGGTTGGGGAGGCTTGCGGAGGTTGGGGAGGCTTGCGGAGTTTGGGGAGGTTTGTCGAGGTTTGGGAGGTTGGGGAGGTTTGGGGAGGTTTGGGGGGGGGGGGGGTGGTTAGTTTTGTTCGGCTGGGTTTGGCACAGCTTTGCGTTTACCTCCAAACCGCGCACCTGCAGACTCCAAAGCACCCAGCTGAGTCTGTCCCTTCGAGAGGCTCCATGTGGACGGTGACGTGGGAGCTCTACCATGACTTCCCTACTTTGCGGCGCATGCTCTTGGGCGCGTCTTCGGCCACTGAGGCCAAGCGGGGAGCGGGGGGTATGGATTTGGTGGGGTAAGTGGGGAATGAGGGAGGGACTGGTTGGATGGAAACCTGAGGTGTTCAAACTTTGGGCATTTGAGCTGGTCTCGTTACGAAGTTCAATCTCCTCCCCAAAGGGACCGCCTTGCCGCAAGCTTGAGAAGGAAAAGGGGCTGATACCTGAGGGCACAAGTTGAGGTTGGTCCAACGGGTGCTTCTTATCATAGGGCGCCACTTGTGGTTGGGGTCTAAGGGAAAGCCACAAGGAAACTAACACTTTTTTCCGGGTCCCCCATTTTCAGAAACACCCAAAGCTATTGACTAGTTGGTTTAGGTGCTGGTCATGTCCAATGTGGCCCAACACGGTGGTTTCCCTGGTTTACAACGGCATCCTCAAAACTGAACCAACGTCCCCCCCCCCCACGGTGGTTTGTGGTCCAACATGAAGACCATGCCGTCCACTAGGAAGACCATTCTCCTCCAAAAGGGCCCCTCTGGTAGGTTCCATGTTGTTGGGCAGGGTGCCCAAAACCAACCCTCTCAGTCGCTGTCAAAACCACGGGGCTGCGAGCCTGGAACACCCAGGCACATCGTGCGCCAGCCGTTGCTTGAAGCATGACTCAGCTTCGCCTGTTATTGAAAGCAGGTAGCGAGTGGATCTTGAAGAGGCGAAGGAACGCCCAGTTGATTCACTGAGCTCTTGACTTCGTTTGAAGTTCTGTGACGGGTCGAAGAGGCAAACAGAAGGATCCACAATCTTTGGGACTCTCACCATCCACCGCACCCGCTTGAACCCTCCAAAAGACAAACTCTTTGTCTCGCTCTCACTTTTTTGTTTCTGTTCTCTCTCTCTCTCTCTCTCTCTCTCTGTGACTGCAGCCATTTGGCTTCAGGCTGAAAACCGTGAATTGTCGCCGGCCGGACGAAGATTCCATCGAACAAAGGGAGCGGCCTGATGTACTACTTCGGAGGTACGCCTCAACCTCAGGACCCTCAACTGGAGCACTTCCTGCGCAAAGGAGCTTCGGCAGAAGCCCGGTGGGAGGCGCGGGGCGCGGAGGCGGACAGGAAGATATCTTGTGTGTTTTCCGGAGGCGTCGTTTTCTCCAAGCCTTTGAATACGGCCATGCGGCCAACGAATCCACAAGGGTGGGAAATTGGCATTGGGCGCAAAGCATGTTGTCCTTTTGATTTCCTTTGCCACGGAGCAAACTTTATGTTTGTGATAGGGCATTTGGACCAACCGTGTTTGTTCTTCTTTGCATCATCATCATCATCGTCGTCGTCGTTGTCATCGTCATCATCATCGCCAGCATCATCAGCATCATCAGCATCATCAGCATCACCAGCATCATCAGCATCATCAGCACCATCAGCACCATCAGCACAATCAGCACCACTCGCCACGCCATCACCATCACCATCACCATCACCATCATCACCATCATCATCATCATCATCATCATCATCATCGATATGGAGGACTTTGAGCCCATGTGTAACCGCTTTAATTTGGCCCCTCCTTGTACTCCTCCCTCGTGCTGTTGAGGTGAATACTGAGCACGCCAGGATTTTTCAGGGACGCCCAAATAACCCTGCCCTAGTTGAGGATTCTTTTCCCTTCGCTCGAGCTGTTTTGAATGAAGTTTCTGGCTTCTCCATTTTCAAGGTTTCTATGTGAGAGAAGCCCATAGACGAAGAGCACTCTCCCACCCGCGAATCTGCAATGATAATTGTAAACGCTTCGCGTTGCCCGCCTCGGCCCAGCCTAGTTTGAGGGAAGGGTCAGACACGAGCAGGAGGCCAAGGCCTGGTCAGCCTGGGCTGAGCTGCTTGGGCAGCCGGACTGGGGGGCTGGGGCACGTCAGACAGGCTTGGTAGCTGGCGTAGCTTGAGTTTCAGACATGTGAGACTGGTCGCTGGCCTGAGGCCAGTCTCAGACACGTTAGACAAACCTGACCTTGGCACGCTGGGCTGAGCCTGCTGGTGGGCTGGCCCCTTTGGGGCCGAGGCGAATAGATAGGAAAGAGATGGATGTTGGTCGTGGGGAGAAGCAGGAATCGGAGCGGGAATGGGATGAAAAGATAGGTTACTCCAGGCGCTGGCTGACCTTATCCCATTCCCATCCAGTACTCTATTTCCCGTTCATTCGCTTGGTTATCCTTCCCTCGCTCATTCATCTTCCTTACCCAACCTTTGTTTACTTGCAAACAAAGGGAGCGAGGGTTGGGTTTGGGAATGGTTTCCCTCTAAACGATTTAGAGCCGGTGATTTCGAGTTTAGGTATCTTTTTGGACGTTGCTTCCCCTCTCCTCCCTCCCCTTTGCCCCGTTTTCTTCTTCGGTTGCCGAGGATATGTGGTCATCCCCCCCTGCGGCACTCCGCAGTTGCACGGGCAGATCTATTCCAAGGCCTGGGCGGTGCACGCCCAGGACGCCACGTGGAAGCTGGGGGACGGCGTGCTCGGTGCCATCCCGGAGCTGTATCAAGTCTTAGAGGCGCGGTGCTCGTCACTTTTGTTTGGGGGGGGGGGGTGGTCGTTGCTTGAAGTCGTCACTTTTGTTTGGGGCGGGGGGCGTGGTCATGTTTTTGAAGGGTGGCCAAAGGGTGGTAAAAGGGGAACCAAAGGGGAAAAATTGGGGAACTTCTAAATGGGCAGTTCTTTGGGTTCCTTTGGTTTCCCTGCAGGAAGCAGTCCAAGGGGTATCATAGAGAAAGCTAAAGAGCTACCATGAGTTCTGGTTAGGAATCTAGGCCAAGGGCCGGTAGCAGCAAAATGGCTGAAGCCACCAATTCCTCGTGCCTTTGAACAGCGATTCCCCACAACGAGGAGCCGATTGGCCGATTTTTACGGGTAGCCAGTGCTTTGTTCAGAGGATGACATGGTGCACCCCGGGACAGAAGCAAAGTTCCATCTGAGTTGGCTCAGTTGCGCGACCGACCACGGCTTGGAGATGCAACACGAAACAACAAGCTGCGTCGAGTCCGCCGTTTGTTGACCAAGCAAGGTGACCTCTCCCTTGTTCCGTTCTTTCTGGTTTGGGGTAATCCTCTCTTCTTCGGTGGCTTTTGAGAGGGGGTTCAGCATAATTTGCCATTCGAAGAATCTGGGGCATGTTGAATCCGAACAGCGGATTGGTCCTCTTTGTGCTCACTTTCCAGGAATCCTTCTTAGGAATGGCGCGATGGGAACATGGGCGTGTCGGGCTTGGTTTCAGACCAAGAATGAAACCACTCATAGGGTCCACCATTTGGAGAACCCAAGGCTTGTGGAAACGAAGGATTGGTGAAAAGAGGGGAAGCGCCCTGACTGGTGGCTTCCCCCGCAAAGGAAGCTTCGGCAGCTGGTCTAGCTAGCCGGGTCTCAGTCGAGTTGTTTTCCAGGCGCCGAAGGTGAAGCAGACCTTGAGTAAGGTGTTGGGGGAGAGCCTTGGCATCGATGTCTTGTCACCGTCCTTTGTCTGTTTTGATTTCATTGGTTACTTTTTTTTTTTTTTTGTTTCTTCGGTTGGTTCCTTTGGTTTTTGGTTTTTGGCCCAGCTTTGGCGGGTTGCCTTTGTTCCTTTTGTTTCCCTTTAAACCAAAACCGAAGATTCTGAAGGGACAGTCCCAGCCATATTGAGGTGCGGGTATCCGTCCTGTTCACATGGTTGTGGGTAGACCCTCTACCAGGTTTTGATGACTCATATGGCTTTGTTTCAACGGAGCCCCGGTTGGATCAACTTTCGATCTCAACATGAGGCAAGCTCGAAACAAGCCGCCGAGGTTTCAGCACCCACTGAGTCGCTGGGTTCTTGGTCATATTTGTTGGCTCCCTGGCCTTCCAGATTGATATGGACCTTGAAAAGGGGCTTCAGTGAGTGGATGCAGATCCGCCTATTCCCAAGAAATCCTTTGCCTTTCCGCTGGCAGCTTGTCCAAGCCCTCTTTACATGTTCAGGTTCACTAAGGATATGTCACGTTTTGGCGTTCGGACGTATGCAAAAAAGGGAGCACGGTTGTGGAAAACACAAAACAACGAGCCCAGATCCGAGTTCCTCAGGAACTACATGCTGCATGGGCACCGGCACCTGCACGTGAGCTCCTCGAACAACCAGATGTGGCACAAGGATCTCGAGTGAGTTGTGCACCGCCGTTCTGGGCGTGCCATGGACCCTTGGAGTATTTTTTGCAGCCAGCTCGAAATTTTCCTTACCCTGAAAGAAGATATCACCCCCCCCCGCCCCCGTGTTGTCCTTGCCCGTTTCTTCCCTGAAGAGGACTCCTACTGGGGCTTCCGGAAGGTGCGGCGGCACCGGCCGCGGTGGTGCATGCTGCTGTACTACCCCCAAGACACCACCGTGACGATGGGCCCCACCTGCATCCTCTCGGGGTCCCAGTACTGGACTAAGGCGCATGGGGGCAAGCAGCGGATGTGGTTGGGCAAGGTTGGTTTGAACAAGCACCTGGTCCTTTTTTAAGGGGAAGGCCAAGATTAGGTGGTTTGAAGAATAGTAGTTGAAGTACTTGTTTGAGAATAGTTTGAATTGAGGGGAAACCAAAAGGAGGTGGCTGAAGCTAAATCTTGAAAATGCCTATTTAAAGGAGCTGGTCCAAGCTGGGAGCCAGATGGTCCCAGTCCAGTCGGAGATGGCAGGAGGTGTTCCCCTTAGCAAAATTCCTTTCAGTCCTTGTTGGGAAGGGCCGAGCGGCGTTGCAGGATGGCTTTTTGTCGCTAAGGTTCGGTGTTGGAAGGACATCCATTTGCAGCAAGGGTTCTTCTCACGAGCGATCTGTCCGCACAGCTCCGGCTCTTTGTCCTCAAGCATGGCCTCGCATTGGTTGCAACCTCAAGATTTGGATTTGCCGCAGTTGTCTTTCTCCCTGCTTTGGGGGGTGAAGCGATATCCAAGGCCCATCTGGACAAACGGCCGGTTTCGCGATTCGGTTTGCGACGAAGCCGCCCATGACTGGGCTTCTCCTCTTCGCTCGCCGCACGAGCCAGTCCGAAGCTTTCCAAAACCGATTAGAAAAGCAAAGAGGCGATTAGGAAGCAAAAGCCGCGCGGTGTCCCCGGGCTTGTCCACTTGCCAGCAGAGCTTTTGTTCCCTGGCCAGTCCGGCCCTTGGGCCCACGGCTCGTTGGCTCGTCTCCCGAGTGGGGCCCCGGCAACTAAAAAGTCTCTGCCTGTTTGGGGGAAGCGTTTTCCTTTTGGCTTCCCTTTGCAACCGCCAAAAAGGGGGGGAGGGTACCGACTCAAAAAACAAAACAAGACAGAAGGCAAACACCGGAGCCGTAGAGGACACGGAGCAGTCGGAGGTGGGGGAGGACATCCTCTTGCCGAACTCTCAGGAGCAGTCCATGTTCCTGCCGCAGGGCAGCCTCCAACACCAGGCCGCGGTCATGAACGAGGCGCGCTTCCCGAGGGTCAGGGCGCGGGTGGGGGGTGGCGGCTTCTGACCAAAGGATCGCCGTGGCTCTTAAAGGTAACCCCAAAAACCCAACTACTTTTGAGTTTCCCAACAAACCCACCCCGGAAAAGGAAGAAAGCCAATTGGACTTACTTTTGAGTTTCATGAAAAAACCAAGCCCGAGAAAGGTATCCTGGGGTGCCTTCTCCAAGCTTCTTGCTGAATTTCCGAGCTGGGGAAGAAGGCCACTTTGGGGACCATTTGAGTGGCAAAGAAGTTCGGTGGCGGTCTTTTTTGGCCATCCACGTCTGGAAGAGAGTATGTTTGGGCTGTGGCTCGGAAGCGGTTTTGGTTTTACACGAGAACCGCCCCTAGGTGTCTGCTGTCCTTTTGGGGATCGCCAAACCGGGTTCGCTGGCCTGGCTTGTGCGCTCTCGCGGCGCAGCCTTTTAGGTTGATTTTGGCCATCCGGAGTAGGTGTTCAACTTCCATGTAGTGTAGCCAAAATGCAGGGTTGCCTTTTAGCAACGCAAAGGGGGCTTCCGCAGGGCAAGGGACTCCCTATATTTCCTCCTTTAACATCACCGCAAGAGGAAAGCCGGCGAGTGGGTCTAAAAGTGATGTTAGATACCACCCGTTTTTCAGGTCGAACTATAGAGAGGTTCCTGTTTTACATGGTAGGGATGTCCAACAAGGGGATGTTTCAGCTGGTGTCACTGGATTGTCCCTTCAAAAGTTAATCAATTTACTGGTGGAAGTTTCTCAAGCGAGCACTTTTCTTGGTTGCTCCCAGCCATCCCCTTAGCTTTGTAGCTTGTTGGCATTTAGTGGGACTGAGGACAGCGCTGTGTAGGAGTGTTCCACTAGGCGAAGTCCAACTACCTCGGCCACCACGCGCATCTGGTGGAGGACCTGGCTCTCACGGTGCCTGCCGGCAGTTGCGTGCTCATGCGCCATGGCTCCCTTCGGGATGTTTTTGTCGTTTGTCGTTTTGGCAAAAAAATACCCCCCCCCTGCCGCCCACGTTCAGCTTTGGTCACACGGCAACCGTTTGCTTTTGTGTCGCTTTTCGACCCCGCTCAGGGTTTTTGGGTGAAGCAAAAGGTCCCTTTTGGAGCAAGAAGCAGGTTCGGCGCTGCAAAACCGGGTCCTCGATAGTGAGCAATCGAACGAGAAACCCACGTGGAACGTCCAGTTCTTCGAGTCTGGGCAAGGTCGGGCCTTTGTTAGCAGGACGTCCAAGTGCATGTTGCCAAAATGGGAAAGGGGCCCTTAAAACACCGCCAAGGTGGTAGATGTGTACCTCTGTACAGCTGACCTATGTGCTCCAGCCAGGTTTGAAGAGTTGTCCAACCAATGCGATAGTGCGGGTTTTAAAAAGGAAGGGACACGTTTTCCTCTTGAAATTATTTGCGTCTTGTCTTTGCGGGACGCGTCCAAAATTTGGGAAAGGCCCCCTTTTAAAAGAGTGTACCTTTTGATTTGAAAGGGGTTCTTTTGAACTCCGAAGACACAGAAGACCCTCCCTTTTCGATATTTGAGCCGTTTCTGCTTCATACCAGGCGTCTAAAAAAGTTGGCTGGATGTGGATCTATGTTCTCTGTACGGGGGGCGGGCCCAAAATTAGGAAAAGGGACCTTTTGAAGGGTTTACCTTTTGAACTCTCAAGACAGGGGGGCCGCCATTTTCGATGTTTGAGCTGGGCCTTTGGTGAAAACCTTTTTGGTTTTGCAGCAGTTGTTATCGAGATTGATGAAGACGAAGCTTTGCAACATTGAGCAGCAATGTGTGGTTTATGTGTTTTGGAGTCTCCCTCCACCATTCCAGTTGCTTGTTTTTTGGAAATTGAACCATTGACCGGCAAAGCGATATCTTGGGTTGCACATACCCTCTTTTTGGAAGACAACTTTAGTGGAGGTTGGCCTGAGTGTCGCTCAACGAAAGGCAGAGACTATGAAGGCAACGGAAAAAAAAGCACACATGGCTGTGGGTCAAAACCAATGGTTCCATTTTGGGATAGGTGCACCACCCATTTTAGTCTATTTTAGTGGGGATTGGGATGTTCACTGGGGGTACGGGATTTTGACCCATGGCCATTTCTTCCCAGGCACTATGACCTCTTCCACCGGGCCAGCTGCCGGCAGAGTGGCACCGCCCCCGAGCGGTTTCTGGTGAAGTTCCAGTTCCTCAGGAGTGGGATGCGGGGCGAAAGTCGGATTTTGCTTCCCTTGCTGGCAGCTAACACCTGCGGAGGTAGCACATGCGGAGGTTGTGCCATCTACTTTCACCCAATTGTGTCTGAAGGGCCTAAGTTATTGGAATGGGGGTGTGGCGTGCTGTGGGGACCAAGTTGCGCAATCATCATAGGATAATCATGGTTGGATACCACATGTTTGTATTTATTCACCCCACCCCCCCGTATTTTGTGAACATGACCCTTGAACCCACAGCATCCAGTTGAGGAATCTTTGGGATTGAGCAAGTTTTCGGCTTCCATGTTGATCTTCAAGGGAGTCACCGACAGTCACTCCGTTTTGGGCAGCCGCCATTTCAGTGGTGGTTGAGGGTTCTGTTCGATTTGGTAAACCAAATGGCTGTGGGTCAAAACCAATGGTACCATTTTGGGGTAGGTGCACCACCCATTTTAGTGGATTTTAGTGGGAATTGGGATGTTCATTGGGGGTACAGGATTTTGACCCATGGCCAAATTTCTGTTCGGTTTGGTAAACCACATCTGCAGACCTGGCAGCTGTCGCGGAAATTGCCGCACATGTGGATCTTGGGTTTGAAAAGTGACACCAAATGGGTGGTATCTTTTATTCGGGGACCCCCAACATGGTGGTCCATGGAGACAGATCCAAATGGACCCTGAACACATGTAGGAGCTCTTGTCAAGGAGCACCATGGTTCAACTTGCGACCACCTTTTGGAACAGTGGGTGCCATCCTTCTGACACCCGTGTCCTTTTCAGGTCAATTGCGCAGGCAGAGTTGATATGGGTTCCACTGGTTCCACTTTGGTTCCAGTCACTTGTGACGCGGGAATCCATGCATGTTTCCAAAAGCAAAAGGTTGTGGAAGCAAAAGGGTGTGGCTCCTTTCCTTTTTTTCGGGGGAACTGAGGTACCTAGGAGGGTGTGCTCCCTTTGTGAGATGCCTGGGTGTGTCATTTTTTGAGGTTCGTTCCTCTTTTTGGGGTGGTTTAAAGGGGTTTGGGGTGGTTTAAACGGGAAGCACACAATCCTGCACCACCTAAGAAGCCCTGGAATGATGATTCTCCTGTAAATACCCACAAACATGATTTCAACCATGGTTTCTCAGAAGGCCAGGGCGCCGGGTCCCCAAAACCGGTTGCGTGCGCGCGAGCCACCGGTTGCGAGGACCATGGAGCCCCTGCCGCGGCCCAAGCCGCCGGCGAGCTTCCGCAGCGGGCTGGTGGCTGTGCAGCTCGGCGGTTTTCGTTTCCGTTTCGAGCGGATGGGGAGGGGGTGGGTGGGGTGGGGTTTTCACATTCAAGGAGGGGGGGGAGGGCTGTTGGATCGGCTGGAATCCCATGGGTGAAAACAGGATTTCGAGGAATCCTTGTCTCATTCCCCATGGCTTTTATGGACTTCAAAGACTTTTGTGGGGGAAGACCGTTTTTAGTTGTGAAGAAGAAGCGGACTTGTTCTGGCCAATCCACTCAGGAAGTGAGTTATGTGGACTTAAACAGAGACCGATCCCGAATCCCAACCCACCCGGTGTAGTTTTCCGGTCGGCCGAAAGAAAGCCGGCGGGGCCCAGAACGAGCAAGCGGCTGTTTGCGATCCGGGCTCCAGGAATCCCATGGACCCGGTCGTGGAGGAGGTCCGCAGCTGGCTGGGCGAGGCGGTGCCGGCAGCGCTGGCCTCCGGAAATGACGTGGAGGCGCTGAACTCGACCAACGAGGCGGGCAGCTGCGGGGGAGGTTTGGCGGGGCTGCGCTCTCTGCGGGCATGCGGGAGTTTCTCAAGTTGGCTTATGACCCTCGCTTGTGGCAAAAGGGAACCAAAGCGAAGCAACACATTTTAGGGGTGCCTGTTTTGAGAAATGGGGCCTAGCCGCAAGAGCGATCCTTTTGCTTGCGGACAGAGGGCTTCTCATTCTCCATTTGCAATGGCCAATGACGCCAACACAGCTCCACAGTTTTCATGGCAACTCCATCCCAATCCACCCCGGCTTATCATTCCCATGACAACTGGCCAACTCTCCGTTTGGCTCTCCCCTGCAGGTTCTTTTTTTGTACTCTTTAATGTCCTACAGGGGTGGATCCACAAGAATTCTAGGGGTTGCTTCCCCATGCTTTTCAACCATCGTTCTTTTTGAACACCAGCCGTTTTCTCCGGGTTTCCGGAGGTTTTCTGGAAAGAAGGATGCCTGAGGTCCCTCTAGAAATCCTCATCCAAACCGTTTCCTGGATTTAAGTTTAAGTCGGTTTCATTGAAACTAGATGGTGCTGGCTTACTTATTCTTTCTTTTTTTACAGGTCCCCTACTTATGCCGCCGGGCAACTTGGTACACACACACATGTTCTTTGGTGCATGTTGCTTGGACGTTTGGACTTTAGCTTTCTGCCAACTAATGGGTTCTCCGTATTAAAGCACTAAAAGTTAAACTTCTTCTGCAGAGCAGACAGTTATCGAGATAAGTTGCAAATGTTCCAAGATAAAGTTTCCTGGAGACGCGAACGGCGCCTTCGGCCGCCCTGAGGCGGATCGCCTGGCGGCGGCCTACCGCCTGGGCCGCAGCGGCTGCCATGTGCCGCTGCTGGCGGCGCTGGACGAGGCCGGGACTGCCGTCGCCCGGTGGGCTCCGGAGCCGAAATCAGCGGGCAGTGGGTTTTCTGTGAAAAAAACCCAAGGCATGTGACGTGTTTTTTGTTTTTGTACAACTCACCGCTTTTGTCACGGTTTGTGTAATATAAACAACCCAAGACATGGGGTGTGGTGTCGTCTTTTGTTTTGGAGTTGGTACAGGTACCCTGAGTCTAACAGCCGGAAGCTCCCCTAATTCGTCTCTGCAAATAGAACCAAGTCTTTGAAAGGGGTCCTGGGAGCTTTCCATTTTCTGCTGCTCAAAGCGAAACCGGAAGGACAATCGTTGGCATTTTTTTGGGGTTCCCCTATTTTGAGACAAACCCAAATGGATGCATTGATTGACGCAAATACTTCAATCATTTGTGTGTGTCACCCAGGGAAACTTGACCAGACGCAGGCCGGCAAAATGGGAACACCACAATGACAACTTTTTGCTGGTAAGGGAAACTATGGAAAATCAACGAGGCGAAAAATTGAAAGGTAAGCAAGTCGTTTGGCAATGCCAACTGGCTGGTGATTCTCATTTTTTTCTCGAGTTCACTCCTTGCTGCCGGTCTCGACATATGAAGCTTCTCCCAAATGTCCAACCTTTTGGGAGTTGGCTCCTTCGGAAAATCTGCACTATTCTTGTTTTTATCACTTGCATGGTGGTTATGAGGATACTTGGGAGACACTCATACCGATGCTATGATCTTCCATATGACTCTTCGCATTGAGGGGGGGTTTGGACATACCCACATTTTACTGATCCGAGCAAACCCAGCGGTTAGCCCCGTTATGAAGGTCCCTTCCTTGGGTGGATTCCTGTTGAACGTTGGCCAAGCATTTGGATACGGGCGTGTTCATGTTTTTGGGGACGCGCCAACATGGGTGGTTTCCCCTTCAACCACAAAAAAGGGGGTACGCTCAAGTCCGGATATCCTTGCCAAGAGGGAAACCCACCCATTTGTCCCCAACAGCTGAAAGCTATGAAATAGGCTCTGGCATTGGTTTGGGGCAGCTTTCAGGGAGGGTTCCAGAGATTCGGTTCCAGGGGGAGGCCCCAAAATGGGTGTTTCTTTCGATTGTCCCGTAGTTTTCCAGTGGTTTCCTTTTAGCACCCACCCCAAAAGGGTAATCTCAAACCAGACACGCCCATTTACTGAGTAGGTGCATGTGTTTGAAGCATTATTATCAGCGAGCTAACTTCTGACAGTGTTGTATTTACAGTGGCTTATTTTGGGTCCATATCCTTTTTCTTGCTGGTGCGATAGGCAGGGAATGAGACATGGAATGACGCGGTTTCCTTTATTCGGAATCCCCAGGTTCATTCCATGTCTCATTCCTTACTTCTCGCAGCAAGAAAAAGGAACCTTGGACCTCGCTTTTTCGGGTTTTCTGTCCACCAGCCACTTTTGGCGGCTCCCAGCCATCCGGTCCCTCAGCCTTTCCGGCCTTGTGTTGAGTGCTGTAGCTTCCATTTAGCCCACGGAAAGTTGGTCACTTTCCGCGGGGGATCCGCAAAAACCGGGCCCAGTTTGGAGGGGGCTCCATGTCGCCAGGCGGAGGCGGGCGCCCGCGCCGCCAGCTACGGCCTTGCGGCGGGGCTGTCGGCGCTGGGGGCCGGGGCGCTGGCGACGGAGCAGCGGGTGCTGCAGCTGCTGAAGAGCCCCAGCACGCGGACGAGGCCGAGACACGTCTTCTTTTTTGGGGGGGGAGGGGAGTCGACGTTGTCTTTTTTTTGTTGGGGGAAGGGGAAGGGGGATTTTTGGTTTTGGGGGGGGAGGGGAGTCGACGTTGTCCTTTTTGTCGTTGGGGGAAGGGGAGGGGGGAAGACTTGCATGGGGTCTGTAAATCTTAGGGAGGGATGCTAATCCAGCCAAGGTTACAACCATAACCTATTGGGTGGGTTGAACATCCAAGCAGGGGGTGGGATCTGCCTGCCTATGGGTAAACCGAATCCAAACAAATCAGGTCTCGGGTGTATTGTAAAGTTGAAGATGTTCGAGACGCCAGCTACAGGAGTTTCTGCAGCCTGTAACAATTCCTTGATATAGCTGGTTTCTGCGAAGATGGGGATGTGTTTGTTCAGTCAAAGCCGGATGGGATTGGCGTATCCGGGTAAAACAACTTACCAAGGTTTGAACATCGGGGGAGGAAGGGGACCTGGTTGCTTTGACAAGCGTTTCATTCTTTTTCAGGGTTGCGGGTAGACCTCGTGAAGGGGTTTTGATTGACTAGTGAACATTTTGGTTGGGAGGGTCTTTCCAACATAAGGGGATTGAGGTTTCCCAGAGGTTTTCGATTGGTTCCAGTGGGTTATTCTGGGTTTCCATCGGAAAGGGGGGAGAAGACTGGAATCTCTTTTCCGAATCAAACTGCAACCTGGGGGCAAAAGCTGAGGTAGAAGAGCACGCGATGTTGCCATGTTTTGGCTAAATCTGGGCCGGCTTCACATTGGAAGCACGCAAAAGCGGAAAACACACAGCCAACATCACGCAGCAAGCAACAAAAGAACAAACTCCAAACACAAGCAGCAAATCAAGCAAACGACAAAGGGCAAACAGCAACCCCCCAACCCCTCCAACCCCTCCAACCCCCCCAACCCCTCCAACCCCCCCAACCCCCCAACCCCCCCCCCAACCCCCCCACGTCCCAAGAGGCGCTTCAGCGCCTTTGTGCTGGGCGAGGGCGCGATGCCCTCCATGGCCAACGTGTCGGCCTTGGGGGCCGCCCTCCGGGAGGCCGGGAGCGAGGGGCCGGGAGGAGGGCGACCCCGGGCTTTTTTCTGAACCCGCGGAGAGGTGGCGGAAGGACATCACGAGGAAGAAGCTTTTCCCCTGGAAATGCGGGGTTTGTGGGGTTTATGTTAATCTGCACGGGGGTACGGGTCCCTTCACTTATTGGTGAAGCGCCCTTTTGAAGTGCGGATAGTGTTGGCTTTTTTGGTAGGGCATGAGATACCGAGCAAATCACACGTGTAACAGGAAAGCTACTCCAGGTACAATCCACTGCGCACCAGTTGGTTGTAGGCCCCAAAACCAGTGAGCTGAAAGTCTCAGTTTTACAGATAAGACTCAACTTACACAAACAGTACGGGACCCCCACGAGAATTCAGGAAGCTCTCAATGGAAGCCTCCTGGGTTTGTCCCTAACCTTGCCCACGTCCTGTTTTTCGCCACTTGTTGGCCCGTTTTGAACCCAATGATTGGTGGTCGAAAACAGGTTCCGGGTACTTCTGGGAAGACCAATTTAGCGACAAAGAAACACAGCTTTTTGGCCAATCCACTCAGGCAGTGAGACAAAAACAATCCCGAATTTTGGAAACCCCAGGAGAGCGCGGCGTCCCTGGTGGGCGACGATACTCGGAGCGAGATGCTGGAGGCGCTTCAAGTCCGAGTGGGGTGGATGGCTTCACGATGTAAGAGGCTTGTGGAGTCCTAGAAAGACAAACTACCTCGTGAGCATGGGAAAGTCATAATGGAAGGGGGCAACCCAAATTTCCAACAAAAGCGAGAAGGGAAGGCCAGGTTGCCCACGTCCCCTTAGGGAACACATAGTAGTGTTCGTGAGTCACATGTTGTTTCCCCGACAGAGGAGAACCTTCAAGATGTGTAGTGTCCCACCAGTTTTTTTGAGCTTATCCAGCGGCAAGCACCCGCGTACAAGACACACCGGAAGCAACTTCCATGCACAGGTAAGTTCTCTTCAGGGATCCCTGCCGTTTCCATGTTGGCAGGAGGCATGCCTGCCGTCAACTGTTCCGGGAGGGACAGCTCAAGACATACCCAAGTAAAGGCAAGATGGTGTCACCTCTCGTAATGTACCAAACACCAAATACCATTGGGCGCATCCGGAAACCCTTCCTTAGTTTCGGACACACCCACTTGCTTGCCTTGAACCTGACAGAAGGTTTCGTTTTGTTTTGCAAACAAAGACCATTTGGCAGAGTCCTTGAAGACAGTCACTGAGCTTAGCGCCTAATCGGAAGCGACAGCCAGGAGCAACACATGGCACTATGCTCATGCGTTTTGTTGGGACCTGTTGGAAGGCAACCCTCTTTCCTTCGGAGAACCTCGTGTCCGCTTTGATGATTGTTGGAAACAGGGTTGCTTTGGTGATTCCCCTTTGGGTTGGAATTAAAGCAACCCCATTCAAAACAAGATACACCAATACAGCAACCTGTAGAGGTTCTCTGGTGCTTGACAAGTATTGTGGCGAGTAGCCAGGGGCTGGATGTGCGCGACCAACCTGCCATCCATGTGTGTTTTGCAGAAAGTCCCGCCCTGCTCTTTAAGGCTTTGCCTTAAGTTGAGATCAACCAATGTTGGGGACACCCCCCCCCCGGCCAAAGCAAAAGTAAGAAAGAAAAGACACCTAAGATCTCCCTTGAGCCAAAACCAGCGGGTTTTTGAACTCCGGCCCTCCCATTTTGGCGCTTTTGGGCGCACTCGTCGACTCCTCCCGTCCGGAGGCTTTGGGCCTCCTGGGCGCCCGGGCCAGGGCCCTGGGCCGGGAGGAGCTGTGCACGCTGCAGCTCGGTTGAGCCGATGCCGCCGATGCCGCCGACGCCGCCGAAGCGAAGGACTCGAGGACTCGACGGGACTCGAAGACTCCATCAGTTCCGTGGGGGGTGGTCATTTCTATTTTTCCCCAGAGCCCCCCAGATGACCATGGGGCCATTTTTTGCCATGTAGTGGAACATGTGATCAAATTAGTGGTTTCCCCCAATGGTAATCCAATCCATTTTGAGGTTGCCCGATTTTTTTGGCAACCACAGACCCTTGGAGTTGGACCCTGGACCGGCCTCAATATTTGGGCGGCGGTCAGGGGGCAAATCTGGCGCGGTTTCAGCACCCCTCCGGCCGCCGACCCCTCCCAAGGCCGATACCAATGGGGGCCCCGTGAAAGTAAGAAACTGGACCAGGCAGGTATATGGCTATGATTTTTAAGAGTTCGCTCAAAAGTGGTGGACATGAATCCCCACTAAATTCCTAAAGGATGCCCACCGTTTTTAGGTCATATTCATCTGCCATGGCATCACTTCTTTTTTTTGGGGCGAACCCCTCCTTTTGGCTTTGAAGGGTCGGATCGCATGGCCCATATGGGTGTGTCTTTTTTCAGGGGTACCCACAGGAAAGCCGCATTATTTTTGTTGGGGGCGTGTCCCCTAAACCAACTGCCAGACCGCGTGGTTTCCCTTCGAGCCCACCCACAATCAGAGGGGGGTTTCCCTAAAAACGGCGACGATGCCCGTCGCCGAGGTGCATGCTCCATGCCTTCCCCTTCCTGGAGCAGTCCGTGGCACCACTGGTGAAGACCCAGGCGGTCGGTCGGGTAGACAGGGGTGGGGTGGGGAGCATGGCCTCCTTTTTGTCGACTGGGCCAACAATAATGTCGCCTAAAACAGCTCGACACACAGCGACCCTTTGAGAATGTTGTGATACCAGTGTTTGTGTTTTGTTGCAAGTGAGAACACTACAAAACATCCATCGGTGCCCTTGCGACTCTGCACGTCGGTCTTTGGCGCATTGTGGACTCATAGGAGGTTTTTGAACTTCTCCTTGCATTGCGGTTTTCGACACCGGCAAGTTCAAGCGAGTTTGCTCCAGATGATGATTCATGAAGTATGGGGAGCCCAATTGGTCAAAAGTCAGAAGCTGAGGTTGCGCTTCAAGTTTATTTACTGCCTGGGTTAACTTGGGTAACAAAGCCTGCGTGCACCTTTAGACCAAATTAAGTCATGGTGTTTTCAATCACATGGAAACCGAGGAGAAGCCAAATGGCTGTTTGGGGCGTTCCAGATTGGATTGTTTCTTCTTGAGACAAACCCAAGTGGCTGGGTTTCAGGGACGAGCAAACGAGCATGGGATGACCTTGTACCCACTTACCAACGAAACGAGCAAAACAGAGGTTTCCAGCCAGTTTTGAGAGTGCAAAGGAAGGGTTCCATATGTTTTCTGGAGACAAACCCCAGTTGGCTTGACCAACCGTCCAGGAAGGAGATCGTTCTGGAACTCACCGAGAACCGGGGGTAGCTCTTTTTGTGTTGTAGCCAAATCAAAGTGACGAAGCCTGCGGCTTTTTTTCTTCTGCCGTTCTGAATGTTGAGTGTGTTTCTGAGCCATGTTCCCTGATAGCAAGGGCAAACCCCCACTTATCGATGGCTTTAACCTAGCCTCATAATTGTACCAATCTCAAAGTCACCCCCTAAATGCTAGGTTAAAGGGACACCACCAGCCCAGTTTCTGACTTCAACCCCCAGAAACCGCGAAACTCCCAGCGAGTCCGGACCCCCACAGACCCCCACAACCCCCCCCCCGCTTACCCCAGCCACCCGATTTCGAGGCCGGCGAGAGCGCCGCGTACGCCGTGCTGCTGGCTGCCGGGCCCCGGGGCGCCGCGCCGCCCCAGGCAGGGGGACGGGCAGCGTTTTTTTGTTGTTTTGTTCCTTTTCCGAGGGCAGCATTTTTTTTGGTTGGTTGAAGGGGAACTCCAAAATGAAACCTTTTTTGACACATAGCCATGGTTTTTGGTAAATCCCCAAGGAGCAGCTCCCTGCTGAAGGTCCTTTGCTGGGGGCTTCCTGGGAGTTTCCAGTGGTCAGTGGCCTGGGGGGTAGATGTCCATCGGATGAACGTACCGACCCAAGCAGCTGGTTGGTGTCCTTTTCATTCCCTTTGAACCCGGAGTCGCGCTATTTTTGGATACCGCAGATACCCATATGCTATATATATATATATGTATAGAATATATATATATATCTGTATATATATATATAGATATGTTTTTTGTACATATGTATATATATATATGTATATATATATGTACACCACCAGGATAAAAGTTGTGCCTCTTGGGCCTTCTCAGAAAAAGCAACCCTTTCCCCCTAGAATCCTGCAAGTTGTTGCTGGGTCATTCGCGGTCGAATTGTCACACTCCAAAGCCTTTAAAGTATTTTAAGTTTAAAAGAGGGTGATAATTGACCGTCCCACTCCTGCCACATGAAAAGGAGTTGGAAAATTCGATCCGCGGGTGATCCACACGGCTTTGCAGAAACCATCAAGAGGCATAAACTTTTGTCCTTCTGATGTCCACCGCCACATGTTTGAAAGCATCCAGCTGGTCTTGTTAAACTGAAAACATGGCCTGTTCTACGCTCAAGTCCGTGCTAGGATAGGTCGGTCCGGTGTTACTTCTCGTGCTTCCTCATGGATTCACACCTCCAAGTATGCCAACGCGCTTTTGTCTCTGCCCTCTTGGCAGCAGCCGCCCTGCTCCAAGTGGCACCCGGCGTCAACCGAGACTCTGATCCACAAGCCCTACGCGAAGCCTGCAGTAAGGTCTTCCGCAAAGCTGCAAGATCCCGTGACGATCAGGACCTTCAGCCGTTGCGCGCAGCAAAGGCCGAGTGGGAAAGCGCCTTGGGTCAAAGAGATGCTAGAGGCAGACCGTGCGCGAGTGAGGCTGGCTACGGGCTGAAGCCACTGCAGTTCTGCTCACTTGCCAATCTTTTGACGGCCTGGATCAGTGGCGCAGATTTGCCTGCTTTGTTCAGCAGGAAACTTCAACCTGGCAGGTGAAGTGCTGGTGTGCGACATTGGAGAAATGCAAAACTGGGCGCTTGCATGCGCATGTCATGCCTGTCTGCTTGCCTCTTCAAGTGTCTGATCCTCGCAACGGTTGCCAAGGGAAGGTCCAAACACATAGTTCTGCACATTGACAAAAATTGAGCATGACTCGTCTGCAGCCTGTCACCCAACACCCCTCCCGTGACGCAGTCCACCGCCACATGTTTGAAAGCATCCAGCTGGTCTTGTTAAACTGAAAACATGGCCTGTTCTACGCTCAAGTCCGTGCTAGGATAGGTCGGTCCGGTGTTACTTCTCGTGCTTCCTCATGGATTCACACCTCCAAGTATGCCAACGCGCTTTTGTCTCTGCCCTCTTGGCAGCAGCCGCCCTGCTCCAAGTGGCACCCGGCGTCAACCGACAACAAGCCCTACGCGAAGCCTGCAGTAAGGTCTTCCGCAAAGCTGCAAGATCCCGTGACGATCAGGACCTTCAGCCGTTGCGCGCAGCAAAGGCCGAGTGGGAAAGCGCCTTGGGTCAAAGAGATGCTAGAGGCAGACCGTGCGCGAGTGAGGCTGGCTACGGGCTGAAGCCACTGCAGTTCTGCTCACTTGCCAATCTTTTGACGGCCTGGATCAGTGGCGCAGATTTGCCTGCTTTGTTCAGCAGGAAACTTCAACCTGGCAGGTGAAGTGCTGGTGTGCGACATTGGAGAAATGCAAAACTGGGCGCTTGCATGCGCATGTCATGCCTGTCTGCTTGCCTCTTCAAGTGTCTGATCCTCGCAACGGTTGCCAAGGGAAGGTCCAAACACATAGTTCTGCACATTGACAAAAATTGAGCATGACTCGTCTGCAGCCTGTCACCCAACACCCCTCCCGTGACGCAGTCCACCGCCACATGTTTGAAAGCATCCAGCTGGTCTTGTTAAACTGAAAACATGGCCTGTTCTACGCTCAAGTCCGGGCTAGGATAGGTCGGTCCGGTGTTACTTCTCGTGCTTCCTCATGGATTCACACCTCCAAGTATGCCAACGCGCTTTTGTCTCTGCCCTCTTGGCAGCAGCCGCCCTGCTCCAAGTGGCACCCGGCGTCAACCGAGACTCTGATCCACAAGCCCTACGCGAAGCCTGCAGTAAGGTCTTCCGCAAAGCTGCAAGATCCCGTGACGATCAGGACCTTCAGCCGTTGCGCGCAGCAAAGGCCGAGTGGGAAAGCGCCTTGGGTCAAAGAGATGCTAGAGGCAGACCGTGCGCGAGTGAGGCTGGCTATCGGGCTGAAGCCACTGCAGTTCTGCTCACTTACCAATCTTTTGACGGCCTGGATCAGTGGCGCAGATTTGCCTGCTTTGTTCAGCAGAAAACTTCAACCTGGCAGGTGAAGTACTGGTGTGCGACATTGGAGAAATGCAAAACTGGGCGCTTGCATGCGCATGTCATGCCTGTCTGCTTGCCTCTTCAAGTGTCTGATCCTCGCAACGGTTGCCAAGGGAAGGTCCAAACACATAGTTCTGCACATTGACAAAAATTGAGCATCACTCGTCTGCAGCCTGTCACCCAACACCCCTCCCGTGACGCTGTCCACCGCCACATGTTTGAAAGCATCCAGCTGGTCTTGTTAAACTGAAAACATGGCCTGTTCTACGCTCAAGTCCGTGCTAGGATAGGTCGGTCCGGTGTTACTTCTCGTGCTTCCTCATGGATTCACACCTCCAAGTATGCCAACGCGCTTTTGTCTCTGCCCTCTTGGCAGCAGCCGCCCTGCTCCAAGTGGCACCCGGCGTCAACCGAGACTCTGATCCACAAGCCCTACGCGAAGCCTGCAGTAAGGTCTTCCGCAAAGCTGCAAGATCCCGTGACGATCAGGACCTTCAGCCGTTGCGCGCAGCAAAGGCCGAGTGGGAAAGCGCCTTGGGTCAAAGAGATGCTAGAGGCAGACCGTGCGCGAGTGAGGCTGGCTACGGGCTGAAGCCACTGCAGTTCTGCTCACTTGCCAATCTTTTGACGGCCTGGATCAGTGGCGCAGATTTGCCTGCTTTGTTCAGCAGGAAACTTCAACCTGCAGGTGAAGTGCTGGTGTGCGACATTGGAGAAATGCAAAACTGGGCGCTTGCATGCGCATGTCATGCCTGTCTGCTTGCCTCTTCAAGTGTCTGATCCTCGCAACGGTTGCCAAGGGAAGGTCCAAACACATAGTTCTGCACATTGACAAAAATTGAGCATGACTCGTCTGCAGCCTGTCACCCAACACCCCTCCCGTGACGCAGTATATGTGGGTTTGCAGGCTTGCTGTCCAAGGTTGCACTGTATTATTTTTGCTGCTTGCTTTCCCAAACTGAATCAGTGCCAGAGAGGAACTGGGCAATTAGAGACCTCAGTAAGGTTTTTGTTCGCCAGGTCACCCATGAGAAAGGTCTCTGACTGGGGGATTCCTTGGTGGGTGAATTTCCGTGAGTCGTGCATCCCCCCACAATGGTTGGTGACCCTTGTTGGTCTCCCTGAAGACCCCCGCCAAAAGGTACCCTTCAATTCAATTTCACATCGGGAGAATTTTAAAGAATACGCAATGGTTCAGCCTGAGTTTTGATGTACATTACTATGTTCTGAACAATAAGGACCGCTCCTTTGAACATGGGATCGGTGTGGCTGACCCCCCTTACAACAAATTATAGGCACGTAAATTATACTGGTTTGTCTTTTGGGCAGGCACGCTGAGTGTCAACGGAGATCCAAACTGTTGAAGTTCATGTTCCCAACCTCAAACCCAGGGGAGTCAGGTTCAGGCTGATCCAGGGCATTTGTTTTTGCAGGCTTGAAGAAGCTGACCCAGAGAACATAGAGTCAGATTGCTATTGAATCAGAGCCTGTGGTTCCCCGTTGAACATTCGGGTTCCATTCGGGTTCCATTCTTTAAACCCGGCTCTTCCGAGTTGATTGATTCCCTGCAGGTTTTGGCCAAGCTGGCGGTGGCAGCGGCCACGCGGAACGACCTGCTCATGTCGAACTTTGCCGCGGAGGTCCGACGAAGCTGATGCGTCTTCACTTCGCCTGCGGGTTTGGGTGGATCTACCCTCCCGCCCTTTTCACATAGAACCTGACATTGAAAAAGTCCTGGAGGTTCATTTTCCTTTTAAAGGGACCGGGTCCCTGTGTCAGGTTCCATGTGAAAAGGGTGGGAGGGTACCTGGTTTTATGGGGTAGCCAAGCCTGTGTATACCATTGGAGCCGAGAGTCATCTCGCATAGACCCCAAATCATTGAAATCGGGTTTGGGCACTTCCGTCCCAGCCACCTGGCTCAAGTCGCTTCGGCTCGCTCCAGGTTGATTAGCTGCGATGAAAGTCGCAATCTCAGGGCTTAGCGGGCAGGAAGTCATGTTGGACGTGGACGAGCACCAGCCGGTCCGTGCTCTGCGTGCTTTGGTGCGTGACCAGTTGGCGCTGCCGCCGGCGCTGGTGTCCTTGTTCTGCGGTGGTGCTGAGCTGATCCTCAGCAAGTCCTTGGCGGAGCAAGGCATCGAGGAGAATGCAGATCTGTCTTATGTTTGCCAAAAGGTGGATGTGTTGAAGGCATGGAAGGCGCTGAGAGGGCTGGAAATGGAGGAGGGCATGCTGGAGGGTGTCACGGGCATTGGCTACGGGTGTGGACTGGACATCTTAGAGCCGCTGGATCTGCCGGCCAGCCTAGAGAGCTTCGAGTTCGGCGCGAATCATGGCGTCCGAATCGACCGCGTGCGGTGGCCCCCGAATTTGCAGACCTTGTCGCTGGGGCTTCACTTCAACGAGACTTTGGCTGAGGTGACCTTTCCGGACGCCTTGTGTTGCCTGATCTTCGGGGACTTGTACCGCCGAAGCCTCGAGGAGGTGCGGTGGCCCCGACAGCTTCAAGTGCTCACATTGGGCTCCGAGTTCAACCAGAGCTTGGAACACGTCCGCCTGCCCGACAGCCTGCAAGAGTTGAGCTTCGGCTTTTGCTTCGACCAAAGCCTGGAAGCGATGGCTTGGCCCCGCAACCTCCGGCGCTTGAGCTTCGGCCGGCGCTTCAACCGAAGCCTGGAAAACGTGCGCCTGCCACCTGGCCTGCAGTTCTTGACTTTGGGCGATGACTTTGACCAGCCTTTGCCTTCTTCGGAAGTCGGGGTGCCTGATGGTCTCCTCAGCCTGACCTTGGGGCGCTGCTTCAACCAGGACCTCGCAGAGCTGCAGTGGCCAGCTCTGGAAACTTTGAGCTTCGGGGATTTCTTCGATCACAGCCTGGAGGAGCTGAACATTCAGAGCCTCAGGACCTTGGTGCTGGGCGCCGGTTTTAACGACCTCGCGGGCCTGAATTTGCCGGACTCCTTGAACAGCCTGTCCCTGGCTTCTTGCCAGGATGTGCAAGAAATCCGGTGGCCAGATCAGCTCCAGACATTGTGCCTGGGTGACACCTTCAATGCCAGCCTCGACGGGCTCAGCTTGCCCCATTTGAGGACGCTGAGCTTCGGCAAACGCTTCAACCAGAGCCTCGCTGCGGACTTACCCAGCCTGGAAACGCTGAGCTTTGGGGCCGATTTCAACCAGGCGCTGGACTGCGAAACCTTTCCCGCCCTTCAGAGCTTGACTTTTGGCGATGACTTCAATGAACCTTTGCGGGGCGTGCTGCTCAGACTCCGGCAGCTTACCTTTGGCTACGACTTCCAGCAACCGTTGGGTGACTTGGAGCTGCCGGCCCTGCGCAGCCTCACGCTGGGCGCTAGTTTCGACCAAACCTTCGGCCAGTGGCCCAGCATCGAGAGTCTCACGCTCCAAGACGACTGCGTGAGCCTGCATGGTGGCAGCTTCCCCGAGACTTTAAGGAGTCTCGACTTCTGTGGCTTCTTCAACCGGAGCCTGGATGGGGTACGCCTTCCTCCCTTGAGATCTCTGAGCTTCGGAGACGAGTTCGACCAGAGCTTGCGAGGTTTGAGCCTTCCCTACCTGCAGCTCACTTGTTCAAAGGGAGTCGACCTTTTCACATTTTGGTTTCCCCTTTTTGCCAACCATATTTAGTCAAGGTCCCAAACCATTTGGGGGCTGATCCATATTATTCCGTTCGGCCCCAAAATCTGGGTCACATTCCCCATTTCGCGGTGAAGCTCCAAAATCTGTCTGGTGCTTGTTTTGAAGGTCACCCCATGTTTGCCGGACCCGTTGATCAACCCCGTGTATTTCCAGGTCCCCCGTTTGGGCCAGTGAGGCAGACCTTGGCTTTGGGCTCCGCCTTCAACCAGAGCCTGGCGGAGGTGCCCTTGCCCAGACTGGAAGCCCTGAGCTTCGGGGGGCGCTTTGATCAAGTGCTGGGCCTGGACGCGCCTGTGCTGCGGTCCTTGGAGTTTGGCTATGCCTTCAACCAGACTTTGCGGGAGGTGGGTCAACTCAAACGCGTCTTCTAGAGGAAACTGGCTTTGGGGGAACCCCTTGTCAGATTCCAAGCGTTCATTTGCAGGGGAGTAAATGTGGTTGTCCAAAGCTAGTCACCACCGGGATATGGACCGCAGTTTTTAGTCTTTATGTTTCCATTTACCAGGGTTCCTTTCTGGATGGGCTTGTGGGTCAAAATTCGTCAGGATATGGACCGCAGGGTTCTTGGAGTCTTTGTTTCCATTCTGCGATCGGGCAACCCATTCTGGGGTTACCCTATTTTTGACACCCAGGTGGACTTAAGTCTGCTCCAGCATCTGACCTTTGGCAATGGCTTTCAGCAGAGCTTGCAGGGCGTGACTTTGCCCAGCCTCCAGCGATTGGTCTTTGGCTGCGGTTACAACCAGAGCTTGGAGCATGTGACATTGCCCAGCCTTTGCAGCGTCACGAACTGTCAGCATGTTTCGGTTCGCTGCATGTAGTGCCTAACATTTCGAGCCTTAGACCTTCAGCCTGTCACAAGGTACAGGTCCAAACCAGCGGCGAATGGTTCGCCTCGGTTGAACACCCGAATCGGGTTCATGGCTGTTGGACATGAACTGAACGGAGCCACCAGCAACCCAAGGGCGGCCGGTGAATGCCATGTGCCATGATGTGGATTGAAGTTTGACTTTTTGCGCGAGTGGCGAGAAAGCCCGGAGAATGAAAGGAATCCGCAGTGATAGGAATCAAGGTCGATCTATCCCAAGTATCGCTAAACCAGGTTCCAACAAATACAGAAAGGGGAACGTGTCCCTTGCGAACCTGTTGTTTGCGCACGTGGTTGGCTTTCGGTCAGCGTTTGCGGAAGTGTCAAGCACACTGCCTCAGCCAAGCCAAAGAGAGCCGAGCTCCCGAAGAATGGAATCCCAAGCGTTCACAGAATCGCGCCAAACTCTGAAACAAATGAACTCATAGGAGGTGTTTGTGACCCAGCATGGTTTCATGTTTGTCCCGCACCGGCCGGCCGAAACGGAAGCTTGGGTGTCGGAGAGGCGTATGTGCGGCCGAGTCGGGGTTCCAAGAGATGGTTGCACTCAGGTTGTTTCACAACCAAAGGACCGGACGCACTGGCCAGGGCGAATCTTTGACCTTCGTTTCCCCTTGTTGGTCCATATTTAGTGAAGGTCCCAAAGGCTTCGGACCCACAACACCTCTCTGGCCCAAAGATCCGAATCGACCGGATCTGCCCAAAGACTCGGCTCTTGGACCTGAGAGGCAGAAACCGAGGGCCACCCGGTGCCACCCCAAACGAATACCTAGCAACCTGGAAACAAACTGATCGGGGCCCATCCAAAGCTAAGACCCGCCGGTCCCACCGGTCCCTACAAAACAGATAGGATAAGGGCCAACCCAAAACCGATACCCTGCGCAAAGAGTATTGTCCGAGGATGAAACGGAAGCTCAATATGTGCTCTTTTTTTTTCTGAGGGTACCCATTTCACCTCGGCTCTTTTGGGAAATCCAGAGCCAGATTCCCTGCAAATTGTTGTAATTCACCCCAAATGATCATTTGCGATCCATTTGGTTGACACCTTTTTTCGTAATTTGTTTAAAGCCAGGGTTTCCCAGCCCCCCTCCTTTTCAGGTGCTGCGACGTCACGCCGCAGCCCCCAAGATGCCACTGGCGCCCCGGGCGGCGCCAATGGCGCGGACGCAGCTGCAAAGGCAGCAACTGTCGCGGCTGGTGCCGCGCGCGCCGGTGCGGGCGGCTGGGCACCAAGAAACGGCGTCTTTTTTTGGGTAAAGTGCACGGAAAAAAGCAGCAACTGGCGATCCAGGTATAATTGTCAAGGACCCCCCAGAAAACCCTTCAATCCTAATAGGGGCTAATACCAACCACTCAGGCCTATGAGGGGCAGGTTTCCTTTCGCTTGGCGGTTTGGGGGATTTGGAGGGTCCCCTCTTTGGGGGGCCCTTGACAACCATAGGATAGACGACTCGGAAGAGACACCATTTGGGTCTGCAAATGGATTTCCGACCCTTTTTTGGTATTTAACGGAGGGGGGACGTAACAGCCTTGATAGCAACGCCAGGAGAGAGAAACAGCGAGTAAGCAAGAGCACCGACTGGGGGCCCACTGTAGACGCCGTTGCTGCGCGCTCTCTTCTTAACAGATGGGTGGTCTACCAACCCCAGATGGAAAAGGGTGGCCATGGCACATTTGGAATTTTTCTCCAGAGCTCGGACCTCCTTTTCGTGACACCAAGAGGCCATTTCCGGACATGGCCTCCCATTTCACCATTTGTGTTGGCCCAAGCGTTCTTGTTGGCCGTTGAAAGATGAGCTTTCCACTTGAGGAAGCCACCATTTGGGGGGGGTACTGCAACTGCAGATGTGGAGAATGCAAGAACCCCGCCGAGAACCAGGTTGGTTTCCTTGTGGGTAACCCCAAAGCTTGTTTCCCCTAGTTCCGCAAGTGAGCTCGGCTTTCCCGGTTTCGGAACATACCGTTTGTAGCCCCTTGAGTTGGTGGCTTTTTGGTTGAAACGGGAGTTCCACCCTTGCGCTTCCTCTCATCTGAAAAAGAGCTCCGGGTTTTTTTGAAAGGGGCCCCAAACCCCAATTTTGTCACCATTCTACTGAACTACGACATGTCCAACAAACATGGAAGTGAGCGTCCTGTCAAAACTGAGAGGGTAAAAATGAAACTCAACCAAAGCAGACGGAAGTCTAAACTCGTGGACGCCCATTAGGCGTGTATTAAGCATGCAGTTAGGTTCACTTGTGTGTGCATTGCACGGGGGCTGGTCTGGTGTCTCCGGTAACCTATCATACTGGTGCGAGTGACCGACTTGCAACTGGGTATTTCATCTCAGTTGAACTTAGAGCATGTCAAAAACAGCGTGAACAACAAGCGGAAGTTGCAGACAAGTCCAGCAAAGTCTGGCAATGTGTGTGTGTGTGTGCGCGTGTGTGCGTGCGTGCGAGCGTGTTTGTTCTTGCTATGTGTGTATATATATATATAGATATATACATAGTACCACCTAAGAAACCCTAGAATGGTCTGATTCCCCGAAAATACCATCAAGCAATGGTTTCGCATGGTGTTTTGGGTGGTGCAGGATTTCGTCCATCCACAGTATATATGTCATAAACCATAATTCCAGGGGTGCCTTTCCCATTCTTTCCAGGGATCTTGCTTTCTAGAAGAAACCTCTGGAACCCCACGGAAAACGGCTGAATGTTGCAAAGAACGATGGTTGAAAAGCATGGTTGGAATCAGCCCCTAGAATCTATGATGCCACATCTGTTGCTTCCTTCAAAAGGGGAGATGAGGAAGAACCAAGGCTCCTCACTGCACATCTGTATTTCTCACTTCCCAGTTTAAGTGAACTTGTTCAACTGAATGGGTGTACGACTCATGCTTGTTTTCCTAACAGTTACCCTCCCGCCCACATGGAAGCTGCAGGGAGACCCTTGAACGAACAGCTTCGGCTTTCGAAAGGAGGTGGGAAGGCAGTAGCAGGGCTCAAAGAATTGGACAGTTGTCGGGTACTTTAACACCGGATCAAGTCATGATCATGGGAGAATCATGTGTGTGTGTACTATACCTAGGTCCCCCAGTAGCGCCCTTCTCTCCCCTTTTTCTGGGGAGGGTTCCCCTACTAAAATAGACAGACCAAAAACCGGGCACCCTTATTCTAAGCTCAAACTACTGGAGGACCTGGATACTGTGAGAAAAAAGGGCAGCCTTCTTCCAACCTCTCTATGGGGGAACTAGATCCTGTGCAACGAGTTTTTCCTCCGACATTGGGTATTGCAATCATCAAGGAACCAGCAAGAAAACGGGCCCTTGGCAAGCAGCTCGACGATCTGCCCCGTTCGCTTGAATGGACCACTGACATCCGCATCTCTCTGCAGCACAGAGGGGGTGGTGCTTGGTGTCCTTCAAAACCTAACCGCTAGCAACATGTTTCTCGACCCTGGTTGTAACCCTTTGATTCAAATGCCAGGAGTAGAGCATCTACAAAATATGAGACAGCTGCCAACACTGGACCACGTGTTGTTTGAAGCACATTCCAGAAAGGGGGCCCGCGGGTCCTGATCAAGCTCCTGCCAGTTGGCGCAGGAAGTCGTCCATCCGCTTCTCGGAGCGAGCCTCAGGTGGCGACCATCAAGAGTCACCCCATCCGATGTCGCGACACCGGCGCGAGGAGATGGCGCTTTGGGCCGCAAGAAAAGACGGCTCCAAACGAACGGAAAGGACCCAACCAAAAACTTCCATTTGCTTAAGAATATGTTGGAATTCCCCCTTTGTTGGCTTTAAAAGGACATTTTCACTACTGGATATATATATATATATGTATTTGTTCCAGGGGTCTTAGCCAAATGGAAGCAAACCGGGCCCTTGTGGTTCTACCGAAAATGGAGGGTTTTGGGGGTTCCAACTTTGATCAGGGATGTATAGTTGCACTTCCCAACCCTCCTTCTGAATGATGCTTCTTTCAGAGAATGGGCAACCACCCGCGATTTGGGTGGCTTCCCTCGAACGAGGGGGGAAAAGAGTGGGAAGATTGTAGATGGAACCCTTGGCCTTCAACTGATTCCTCAAAGATAGCAAACTAAAGCAATCAGAAGCCAGGGTAAATTGCATCCTTTTTTGCCTACTTGCGCTATTTATGGGGCTATCATACCAATCCTGCCCAATGGACCTGCTTGGGCGGATAGTGTCAGGGTGACCGGTTTCAGGCTTCTGCAAGGGGGGCGCAAGAATTGGAGCAGCAAGGGTTCTAGCCAGGTGGCTGAAGTGCTGTGCCATGTTAACCACCCCTTCGGATGTGTGACACTTGGGGTTTTGCCGACCCGTGGCCGTGTTTGGGTTCCAGCCATCAGTCGATTCCGATGGGCGAGTGGCATGGCTTTGCCGAGGCCTCCCTTCGAAGAGGCTTCCCTGGAGGAGTTGAGCTGGTCGTCGGCAGACTTTCTTGCTCCAGCAAAGCCAGATTTGTTCGTTTATGGAGGGTGCCCTTTTTCCGTTCTGAAGGGAACCCAAAAGGATCATGGCCATTTCCAGATGTGGGTTTCTTGGAATAAGGGGTCCCAGGTGTTGCTTTCCGTTTGGCTTCCTTTTGAGTACTAACCAAACGGGCCCGAAATTCATTGTGTCTTTAAATAGGCATGGGGGGACCACTGATTCCCTACTTGTCATAGGTTTTGCCTTCATGATGGTGCCCTTTAAATGCCTTCCAGTTGTTTTTTCTCCAGCAACACTTGCACAGGCAGTCACATCCACACGAGGTCTGATAGCCCCCACAAGCCCCGGCACAGCCTACCAGGGCTGTTCTGGAGCTCTTCCCCTTTGGTAGGACACTAAATAAAGAGACCCTCCCAAGCTGCTTGCGGTGGCAACAGACCCGACTGAAACCAACAACGACCTCCTCCACCCCAGTATCACAAGATAGATAGTCAGATATAGACAGTACAAGAAAGATAATCTGATATAAACAACAAAACCAAAAAATAAAACAACAACAGTACAACATCAATAAAGAAGCCGCACTTTTTCGGGCAGGAGGACGTGCCCACGGAGCTGGACGCTTTGAAGGGGTGGCAGACCCCGCAGACCTCCGTCTCGCTGCTGGACTCTGTGGCAGGGGCCTCCAGTCCCGGGTCCTCCGTCTCCGTGTGGGCCGATCCCAACGTGGGGATGTGGCCGGAGCTGAAGGCGGGGTGCTGCTACCTTCCCCCTGGTTTAGGGAAGGGAAAACGGGGTTGAAGGGGGGGGGTCAAGGCAGTCTTTTTCTTGGCGGGGTGGGGGTGGGTTTGAAGGGAAATAAGAGGAGAACCATAATCTTTGAGGGTCCCCTATTTTAAACCGAGCCCGGTTTGGAACAGAGAGCTCAAGGATCGGGCACGGCTGACTTGAAGAGCTTTCTGCGATCTCATTCCAGCCGGTGGTTTTGTTCATCATTTGCCAGTGCCACGCAGTTTCCGAAGGAACATCTAGGTTTCAGCCCTTTGGTTTTTTGGGTTCCTGCCATTTTCGCCCTCATGTTCCCTTTCAGCCATCAACAAGACTCATTGCACCGGGTCGAAGTCTGGCTGTTCAAGCAAGGCCGGGAGGGGATTTAGGCGTGATGTCTGTTTTGTTTGTTTGGGGATATGCTCCTCGTTCGGTGCTTTGGTGTCTGGCTGGCTTCTCTTTTTTTGCTGGGGAAGAGAGAGAGAGAGAAAGAGAGAGAGAGAGAGAGATGCCGTTGTTTGTTTTGTCATATCTAGTTTTATGGAATCAATTTGTTTGTTTACTTGGATCCTTGGTTCCCTGGTGAGTTTTGTCATGTAGTTGGACGTAGGCTGCTTATGTGGGCACTTTGCGAAACGCCATCAGTTGCTTCCAAGTCATGCTAAAAAAAAAACATCAAGGGGTGTGAGGGGACCCCAACCATGGTGCCTTTCCTTTGGCTTCCCAGTGAAGCCGCAAGAGAGTACCCTCAGCAACGGCATTGTCATGGGTTCATTTGTCCTACAGCCCGACGCGTGCAGGACACAAGGATATGATGGCGCATACGTGAATTCGACCGGAACGGAGGGAGTCTACAACTTCCCCGCCGGATGATTGTGACTTTGAAAACTTTGTAGCGTTGTCGGATGCGCCAAGGCTCCCTGCTTGAGTCGTTGCCTCTCCAGAAATGTCGTTCCTATCGATCTGAGCACCTTTCGGGTGAAGACCGCCTATTCTCTGCTTGGTGTCGCTTGTGTGTGCGTCTGCTGCGACGTGCATCGTTTTGGTTTGATCTTCTTTTAAAGTTTCAACTGGGTTCCCTACCACAGTCGACTCGAGAAGGCAAATGGGGATATTGGGGAGGGGCAGACTGTCAGGTCTTTGACTTGACCGGAATGCAGGTTTTGGATGCCGTCGGCTCGGCGAATGCCGTGTGGACACAGCAACCTGTTGCAACCTCTCGCAACTCTATGTATATGGATTCTTAGGTCGTGGCAGCCTACTCGTTGTGTTTATGTCCTTTTTCATCCTTTTATTTTTGATCTTTTGAGCAATGAGTTGGCTGTCTGCTTGCATGGTCACTCGTTTCTCCAATGCATAGCATGGAGGGCGACAATGGTCTCCAGTTCCTGCGCAAAAGGTGCAGAGGTATGCAATGCTTTTCATGCGCTGTGATGCCTGCCGCGTTCGACCAGCCAGGGAGCAAAGGAGCCCGAATCCGCGTTGTGTCGACTCCTGATGAAGCAACCTGTGTCGACCCCTGAAGCAACCTTCCACCAGCATTCACGCATCGGCTTTCACTCAACGATAGATCAGGCGCACAAACTGCTTGAGGACAGTTTTTCTCTGGGGCGCAAGCGGAGGGATTCCATGGCCCGGAAGGGGATGCTCATTCGTCCTGGGGCCATTTGAGGCCCTTGGCCCATGTGGCGGTTTTTCTGTGTCAGCCCATGGCTGGAGTGATGGTTGGGGCTCTCTGCAACCATGTTCGACATGGCCATGTGAGAACTTTAAAGGAAAGTACCGCAACTAAAAGTCGTCCTCAAACCAGTCATTTGTGAAGGGCTTGCGAAATGTGCAATGGGGACATCCATTTTAGTTTGTTGGATGTTGAAATTTGTCAGACCTTTTCAGGAGCCAAGCCTTGCTGGCAGTACCCAAATCTATCTTGAATGCCCGGGCTCCGCTCTGATGGTTTGGAGGGGGTCCCGGTTTCTTTTGTTTTGACCTCCGCCTTGAACCTTTTGGCTCATGAGCCCCTCTAAGCAGCTCGGTCTGATCGCCGCCCCACAGGCGAAGGGTTCGCCCAAAGCGCCCAGTCGGGAGAAGGCGCGAAAGGGCGTGGGCGGGGTAACGTATTGGTCTGAATACTTACTGACAGTTTACTTCGAAAGTCATGATGAAGTCTGGTTTTGAAGTAACATCGTATAGTATGGGGCTTTGCTGGGGCGCGACAGGGCAAGCTGCTGTTTCGACTAAGTTGACGTGCATCCAAAGCTCTTGGGCTTCTCTTTGGACCACAGCAAGATCTCCTCGAAGATGGCATTCCTCCGCAAGGCTTGAAGAACTCACTTGCCCAAAGCGCATCGACCATTTGACCTGAAAGGGTTTCCCCTTGTTGATTCATTTTTGGTGGCACCCAACTGGTGATCATCTTCTTTGTGGGTCCTTTGGGCAACTGAAAGGGTCCATGGTCAAGCCATTGCCATGTGAAGTGTCTACTGGTGTTGACGTCGTCTGTTTTTCTGGGAGCCCCGAAACGAAGACCATAAGAAGCTCCGACCCAAAGGGTACCCGAACGAGACGTGCCCATGCAGAGGTTTCTCAAAATGGATCTCGGACCCCTTTCTCAAAATGGATCTTGGATCTGGTAGTCAGACGGAAACCAAAAGGAAGCCAATGGTTGCAGGGGAGTTTTGTGCAACTCCACAACCGTACTGCTTAAGGGGCTTTCCTGACATCAGCTTGGATGTTCAAAGGCAAGAAGGACACCGAGCGCCAAAAGAAGCGCTTCATGAGAACTCCAGCCCCCCTAATGCAAAAAGGGCTCCGCTAGTAGTACATATTATGGTGGGCAACCACTTCACAGTATTAGGGCTCCCGAGTTCTGGCTTACCAGTGACATGTTTCGGATTTTTGTATGCTGAGAATTAGTGTTGGCTTAGTATCGGTTTAGAATTGGTTCTAAAGGACATTCCAATGCAGCTGCATTTTGGGTCAAAGGTGAAAATGGCTAGAACGTCGCCATGTAGCATTGGTTTAGAATTGGCGTATTCTAAATTCAGTATTGGGGGTTTTGGAATTTTCTGGCAACCATTTTTTGATTCAGTGTACTCTTTCTTTCTTTCTTTCTTTCTTTCTTTCTTTCTTTCTTTCTTTTTTTTTTGGGGGGGGGGGGAGGGGGACATTTTGTGGATGGATTTCGGTTTTCCTTTGGTTTCGCTTCAGTAGCAACCTCAGGACTCCTCAGAAAAAACCGCACGCGCCCCATTGGGCTTTGCGTGGGCCTCATTTTCCCCAGCAAGCCACCGGTTCTTTCCTGGATCGAGGTCGCCCTTTGTGCCGCTGAAGGGAAGCCGAGAGTCGGAAAGGCCCCGGGGTCGCCCACAAGCTCCGGCTTCCCCGGCGCCCGAAGGACCCGAAGGACCCGAAGGACCCGAAGGACGCGAAGCCGGGGCCCTCGCCCCGGGATAAGAAAGGCGCGGGGGGGGGAGGTGGCTGCGGGCGTTTGGGCGGTTGGGTCCGAACATCGGGGGGGGGAACGGCTTGCTCCTGAAAAAGGAGGGCCAGCGGTAAAGGGGGAGGTGTTCGCGCGGCGGGTCCTTTTTGGACATGGTTTTGGGGGTGGGTTGAAAAGGGCAACAGAAGGGAAAGCCGCCTTTTTGATATTGGGGGGGGGGGGGGTTCCCATGCTGCAACGGCAACAAGATCAAGTTCGGACAAGCGCGGCGATTTGTGCTAGCGCCGATGTTTTTTGCGGCTTTTCGTAAGGCTTGGTTTACTTGCAACATGGGCAGGGGCATGCGATAGGCTTCGAAGCCCGGCTCGGTCTGCGAATGCAGACTTGAAGGAAGGGGATGGGGCTGACGCTCGCTGCTCTTTTGTGATCATACTTCAAGCAGGTTTTTATGAATAGTCCGGACCTCCTGAACAAAAGGGGGTTATTTGTCCCATGTCAACATTACCCCTAAGCAATTTGGTCTTATGGTATCCCAGGGAGGTCGGCACTTTTTTCTAGCACCGAGTGAGACCTCTCTACGGTTCCTGCATGGTGTTGATTGGTGGTTGTCTGGGTGTTTGTTGTTCAGCTGACGTGGGGCGCACCAAGAGGCACTCATTTTTGTTGGTCTTCTTCCCGAGCATATCACCCAACCAGAAGATCCCAAAGAAACCAGGGCCCTTCCAGGGTTCCATGTAAGTGGGAAGGATATCTGGTTTCGGGTCCCACGAGAGGGGGAAGGTGTCGAATCCAGGGTTCCCAGCCAGGCAATAAGGAGCCCACAGAGAAGGACGAGAGAAAGGCGCTGGGAGACCGGTCCGGGGGCGGGGACAGTTGGGATGTGGACCAGTGGGGGTTTTGGCTGCCACTTTTCGTGGGTTTTGCCCTCCAACAAATACCCCATGCATTGCGCTTTGGGTATCACAGGGGTTCTTAGATTTCTGATTCAACCATGAATAGCGATGGTCGTCAACCTCGAGGGCCTTGCCCATGACCCCACAAGCAGTTTCTTAAGCCACCGTGTGGCTTGTGCGAATTTGTTGGGTTGGTTCAACCCATAGCAGTGAATGCCGGAGTTTTGGGCAGATGTGGGAAACGCCCTGATTTTTGCAAGTACGGGAAACACTAGACAACCATCTTACAATATTGCACAAATCACCATAGTTTCTGGCTCGTTTGCTTGCGTCAGTTCGGACAGCTCTCAGTACCCGCCCTTTGGGGCGAATATTCGAACAAGAGTATTATTGGTTATTGCCAGTCAAGTGGGGCAGAAGATGTTGGATGTATCGGCCAGTTTTTGGCAGACCCCTTGGCTTTAGTTCAAGATCCTCAAGCAAAAGTGGCCGACGAAGCGGCGGAACCTACGAGCTAGTTTCATTCCTAGTCTATCTCGTGTCTGTTTGTATCGTGCCTCGCCAGGAAGGGCAACCAAGAAAAAGGCGCCCCATTTTGTAGCCCATTTTTCTGCCCCACGCCCCACAAGGCGCAATTTCCCAACCTAAAAAACGAGAAGGGGGGTGGTTCAGGTGACCTCCTTCCAGCCCTTTGTCCCACAAGTTGGGTGGGTGTCCTCTGCTGTAGCAACACCTTGTTTGGGACACATCTGAATGTCTATGTCTTTTTTGGGAACCCCGCAACACCTTTTTGGGACGCATCTGGGTGTGTCTGTTTTGGGGACCCCCCTCTGACCAAAAAACGAAGAAGAAGAAGAAGAAGAAGAAGAAGAAGAAAAAGAACAAGAAGAAGAAGAAGAAGAAGAAGAAGAAGAAGAAGAAGAAGAAGAAGTCCTCCTATATAACGGGTGTCCCTTCAAACCACCCTAGACAAAACCGGGCCAATCTCTCGGGCAGGGGCGCCTGGAACGGAGAAGGCTGGTGGTGCTCGCTATGCCGCTGATGGTGTTGGCGCTGGGCCACTCCATCCTGCTGCTGGGGCAGCTCTACTGCGCCTCGGCTGACCGTCCTCCAAGTCGCGGGGGGGGGGGGGCGGATGGTGTGTGTGTGTGTGTGTGCGGAGTGGCAGAGAACCCTGCCACCAAAACCTTTTTCCGTTGCAGCAGGGGGACACAGCACTTCACTGGGACTGTGTCCAACGAAGCTACCAGTGAAGTGGGATATCCAGCTTGGCCAGCTGGACGTACCTGCATCGGTGATTCTGAAAGTCTATTTGGCCCCGTGGTTGCGGCGCTGTTTGTGCTTCTTGTTCTTTCGGGTAACGTTTTCGCCTCTAGAGAGAAGCCGAGTGAATTGCAAGCAGAACTCAGCCGAGACTCATCAGTTGTACTCGAGACTCATCAGTTGTACTCGAAAGATTAGCACTCTCCATCTGGAGTTCAAG